GAGGATACTGGTGATGATGACGATGACGATGACGATGACGATGACGATGAAGATAATAATACTGACGATGATGATGATGATGATGATGATGATGATGAAGATGCTAATGATGATGATGATGCTGATGATGCTGATGATGCTGATTATGATGAGGATGATGCTGCTGATGATGACGATGATGATGACGAGGATGATGATGCTGCTGATGATGATGACGATGAGATTGAGAATCAGGATGCTGATGATGCTGCTGACGGTGATGACGATGATGATGATGCTGCAGATGATGATGATGATGATGATGATGATGATGATGATGATGATGATGATGATGATGATGATGATGCTGATGCTGATGATGATGATGATGATGATGATGATGATGATGATGATGATGTACATGACGATGATGATGATGCTGATGATGCATATGATGATGATTATGATGATAATGATGATGACCATGGTAATGATGACTATGATGATGAGGAGGAGGAGGAGGAGGATGAGGATGATGCTGATGGGAACGAGGAGGAGGAGGAGGAGGAGGAGGAGGAGGATGTGGAGGAGGAGGAGGAGGAGGAGGAAGAGGAGGAGGAGGAGGAGGGAAGAGGGGAAGCAGGACAAATATTCAGCTACCGCCACCTTCACCTCACCGTCACCCGTAGCGTCCTCCTATTCCTTTCCCTCTCGAGAATCGTCGTTACGCGGGAATGGGGCTCGTTGGAAGGCAGGCTCAGGAGAGACATACTCAGAATCATGGTAACGACGATGAGGAGGAGACATAGGATTGAAGAAAGGGGGAGGGTAGGAGGATGAGGAGGAGTTGGAGACGGTGGGAGGGAGGAGGAGTGAGAGGAGTGGGAAGAAGATGAGGAGGAGGAGGAGGATGGAGGATGTTAACAGCGACAGACTGTGGGCACTACAACCGAAGCAGTGCGGTGGCAGGTGGATCACTCTCACCGATCGCGCGCGTAACCATTTTGGCTCTTAGAGCTGTTACCGCGTTGAACATTTTGACCCTCCCGCCCACAACCTTTAATCAGCGATGGTCTGACCAGCCTGGGCTGCTTTGGATCCCCTGGTGACTGATGGGGTCTCCTCAGTCTCCTCCTCCTCCTCCTGCTGCTGCTGCTGCTGCTCCTCCTCCGGTTTTTCCTTGCTTTCGCCCCCTCCTTGCTTCGCCCCGCTTTGTGCCGGTAGTTCGGCCATCTTCGGAAAGTGCCACCCCGGGCGGAGGTGGACGGCGGGGGCGGTGTCTGGGAGGCTTGCTGGAGTCGGGGGCCTTGAGACGGGGGTCAATGCAAACGGGGGTCAGCCAGAACGCCCGACCTTGCAGGATCCTGCAGGGCCAGGGTCGCACTGACCCGGGCTTGGGTGCAGGATCCTGCAGGATCTTGCAGGATCCTTCACGTTGACCCGGGTTTGGGTGCAGGATCTTGCAGGATTCTGCAAGGCCTGACTGACCCCGGTCTGGTTTGACCCGGGTCAGAAGATCTCCGATGGAGGAGGCAAGAAATCGGAGATCGAGCTCCAGCGCGCGCTCGGTGGAAGAAAAAACGTCCAGCTGCTGTTGCCGACGCCCAGCGAGGGAGGGCGACAGATCCTGCCGCCCTCCACAGCAGGTGCGATACATCTCTTGGAGGGGTGGGCGACCAGGTACCTGCAGAGGGTTGTAGGCGAGGGTGCACCACGGAAGCGCGGGGAGAATCCCATTCAATTGCGTCAGGGTGCTCTAGGGGCTCTAATGGGTTCAGAGGGGTCTCGGCAACGGTCGTCGCCGACAGCGCCTAGTATGGGTTCCATGGACATGGCGGAGGAGGACGAGGAGGAGGACAAGGAGGACGACGAGGAGGACGAGGAGGATGAGAAGAGGAGGAGGAGGAGCAGCAGGAAGTGGAGGCGGAGGCGGAGGAAGAGGAGGAATCTGAGGAGGAGGAGGAGGAAGAAGAGAGGAGGAAGAAGAGAGGAGGAAGAGCAGGCGGATGAGGAGGAGGAGGAGGAGGAGGAGTAGGAGGTGGAGGAGGAGGAGGAGGAGGAGGAGGAGGAGGAGGAGGAGGACCAGGGGGACGAGGAGGAGGAGGAGGAGGAGGAGGGAGGACGCAAGGAGGGAAGATCGAGGATCGGGGAGTAGCTCCAGCAAGGAGGAAGAGGAGGAGGAGGAGGAGGAGGAGGACCAGTGCAAGCCCAAGACGCATCAACGATGTTACAAGAATCCCTCCCTCCAAACACCCTCTTCACAGGTCCCTACAAGAATGCATGCTCATTGCTCCGTAGCCCTTTAGGCTCAAGACTGTTTGGCTCCAGCTGGGCCTTCGCAACCTGAAGCATACCCGCACACTCTGCGTACATCCTACAACTTCTGGTCGGATCACCTGTCCCGCAGATGGTCCGTCTCTTATTGATTGCCAGTCTTGTCGGGGCGCGCGGGGCCGCTGGCCTGGGTGCGGCCACCGCTGATTCCAGCATGATGCAGTTTGGAACGGCGGTGGACAAGAGCAATACCTCGCAGCAGACAACGGGTGCCACGTGGACTTTTTCCAGTGGTTGCCATGGCAATGCAGCTGGACTGAACCAATATACCTGCAGAGCGCAAGCAAGTGTCGAGACCGCGAAAACATTCTGCATCAACGAGCCGACGTGTATTGGTTTTGACTGGCGTGACCATAATGCAGGCCAAGCTCATGCAGTATGCTGGTATTACGGTGGTGGCAACCAGCTTGGAGGAGGCGGAACATAGGCGGAACATGGGAAGGTGGCGGACCTTCTAGACATTACGCCTTGTCGCGGGCGCAGGCCCCAACGCCAGCGCCTACGCCAGCTCCAACGCCTGCGCCTACGCCCGCGCCGACGCCAGCACCGACCCTGGCACCAACGCCGGCGCCTACGCCGGCACCAACGTCTGCGCCTACGCCCGCGCCGACGCCTGCACCGACCCCGGCACCAACGCCTGCGCCTACACCGGCACCAACGCCAGCGCCTACATCAGCACCGACGCCAGCACCGACGCCGACACCAACGCTGGCGCCTACGCCAGCGCCAACGCCAACGCCGACGCCAGCGCCTACACCACCACCGACGCTAGCGCCGACGCCTGCGCCTACGCCGGCACCAACGCCAGCGTCTACACCAGCACCTACGCCAGCACCGACGCCAGCACCAACGCCGGCGCCTACGCCAGCGCCTACGCCAGCGTCTACACCAGCACCTACGCCAGCACCAACGCCTGCGCCTACGCCGACACCAGCGCCAGCGCCTACATCAGCACCGACGCCAGCACCTACGCCGGCACCAACGCCTGCGCCTACGCCGACACCAGCGCCAGCGCCTACACCAGCACCGACGCCAGCACCTACGCCGGCACCAACGCCAGCGCCTACGCCATCGCCGACGCCAGCGCCCACACCAGCACCGACGCCAGCACCAACGCCTGCGCCTACGCCGGCACCAACGCAGGTATATTCGTACGAGTTGGTTGGGAATGGCTGGTGTAGGAATGGCGGTGTGCGAATCGGCATTTACGGGCATGGTTGGCAATTGACTACAATCCGCAATGACAATGGTGCTGATGCTTGTGAACAGCAGTGCGACTCGGACCCGGCTTGCATTGGATATAGGACTGAAGACGGTGCCGTTTGTCAGCTCATGCCACGGTGTGGACTCGGAGACCAGGAATTATTGCTGGCGGAGGGGTACTCAGGCAACCCCGTCCCCGACTCCAGCGACGCCCAGCGCTGGCGGCGCAGGCGCTGGAGCCTCTGCCGTTGGCGATCCCCACTTGCAAAACATCCATGGCGAGCGGTTCGACCTGATGAGGGCGGGCAAGCATGTTCTGATAAACATCCCTCGTGGAATGAGTGCTGACAACGTCTTGCTTCTCGTGAAGGCCGATGCGCGCCGCTTGGGGAGACGATGCGCGGACATGTACTTCCAGCAGATCAACGTTACCGGGTCGTGGGCAGAGGCCAAGCAAGCCGGAGGCTACCACTACAGCGTATCGCAGCATGACGCCAAGAGTCCAGAATGGGTTGCCCTCAGCAAGGTCGAGCTCAAAGTCGTTCATGGACGTACGGACAGCGGCATCCTGTACCTGAATTTGTACGTGAAGCACCTGGGGCGAGCGGGATTCGCAGTCGGAGGGCTACTCGGAGAAGACGATCATGAGGACGTGAGCGCTGCGCCAGATTCATGCGCGCAGCGCTTGGCCCTCGTGGCAGGAACGCGCGGCGGCGCAGGCCCAGAGGTGGCTTCGGTCGCAGTAGCAAGCCTCGCTTGAGCATGATGGTGTGCTCGCTACAATAATTTCGAGCGCTGGTCCCAGCAGCGGCCACTGTCTATCGGCGGTTCCGTCGGTTGGATAGGCCATCCCTACGAGGACTGCGGGACCAGCCTTTGCTCGCATCGTGTCCCCCCCTCCCCGTCCTCTCTTTGGGGCCGCGAGCGTTTTAACCCGCTCGTGTGAGCCGGCCAAGGCTGGCTCGAGCCCTCGTTTCTGCGCGCTCGAATCTGGAAAAAAAATGCATGCTCACTGCGGGAAGCGGCCCATTAGAACAAACGCTCCATTCCTGGGACTTCGTCTTGGATCCATGTGACTGTGGCGTCCTGGCAAAACGAAGTAGTGTCAGAACACCGTTTCTGGGATGTCAACACAGCGAATGAACGTGATTGCTGCGTCCTGGAATTCCTAAGTCTTGTCAGGGCACCGTCCCTGGAACTCCAGCCATGCGAACCCTTGAAGCTGTTGCAAACTTTGAGACGACTGTGCGCGGCGCTAAGGCGAGAGCCACATTTTGAAAAGAAACCGCCCTCTATCCTTCAACATACTGGAGGAGGAGGAGGTGGAGGAGGAAAAGGAGGAGGCGGATAAGTAGAAGGACGGGGAGGAGGAGGAGGAGGCGGGGGAGGAGGAGGCGGAGGAGGAGGAGGAGAAGGAGGGAGGAAAGAAGGGGGAGGAGGAGGAGGAGGAGGAGGAGGAGGAGGAGGAGGAGAGGAGGAGGAGG